TAAATAGTGAAATATGGTAGATTTGTTCAAGAAGCAATTTGAAAGCAGTTAATTACACTAAAGAAGAGCAAGCCAGATAGTGGTGGGTTGAAAAGTGAGTGAGAAGTGAGTGAAGAAAGCTAAGATACTTATCTCAGAAAGTAAGGAGAAAGAAAAGATGGTAGTTTCTTTAGGGGCCAGTTTTTTTCAGATTGAGCAATCAGCTCTGCCTTATTTTACAACTATTTCTGTGTGTGTGTGTGTGTGTGTGTGTGTGTGTGGTTTTTATATACAAATGTGCCACTGTTTTTAAATGAAGTATGAGGGGAAAACTTTTTTTAAAAAAATTATATTAGTACATTGAACCCACATCTACAACATATTCAGTTAGTGAAATATTCTTGTTTATTTCCTTCCCTGTTTGTTTTACTTGAGGAGCAGTCCTAATGACTTTTCTAGCCTTATCAGCCTAACCCATATTCTTTCTCACAAGCACTTCCCCTAATGAAATCCTCAAGTTAATCTCATCTTTTTTTTTTTTTTTTTTTTGCTTTAAGGCACATGCATTTATCAGGAAGAGAGAAAGATAAAGCTAGAGAAAAGTGAGAAATCACCCCCAGGAGGGATGACTACACTGTAATTCCTTTTCCTCTGTTCTCCTAACATGTCCCCGGTGTGAGTTTTAAGCTGCCAGTTCTGGGACTCGAACCATTGTTGACTGTGTGAGAGTCCAGTGAAGTAACCATTACGCCATCTGCTGGTCCCAGTCTCATCTTGATGTTGAATTCTTGGAGAACTAACAGGAAGCTTCAAAAATGTTTAAATATGAGGACCAGCAGTTAGCTTAATGGCTATGTCGCTGGACTCCCATGTAGTTGACTGCATTTCGAGTCCCAGACCTGGTAGCTTAAACTCATGCGCGGGTGCATGTGCATGCGTGGCCATCCCCCCCGGTGGGTGATTTCTCACTTTCTGTCTCTCTCTGTCTTTCTGGTGAGCACACGCACCCTATAGCAAAAAACTCTCAAAAAAGAAAAAAAGTTTAAATATGGTATATTTTTTAAAAAATACTTTTTAAAGAATTTTTATTTAACTTCCTTTATTATTATTTTCCAGTTTGAGCAGAGAGAGAAAGAGAGAGGGGAAGTGAGAAAGCAAGCCACCAGGTCCAGGACTTGTGGTCAGCCATAGGGTAGTCCAGTGGTTTTAACCACCACATCACCTATAGCCCCTAAATATAGCATATTTTTGAATTAGCCATAAATTAGCATTGTTTTTAAAGCTTTTTGCTATAATGTTTGTGCACTCGTCAGAGAGACAGAAAGAGGGAAAGTGAGAAATCAGCCCCCAGAGGGGATGGCCATGCCACAATCTATTCTCCTCTCAAGATTTTGGACACATACACACACATGCCTGGCAGGAGTCCCAAGCTGCCAGTTGCAGGACTTAAACCATGATCAGCCATGTGGGAGTCCAGTGCCTTAATCACCACGCCATCTGCTGATCCCTTACTTAGTTATATATATATATATATAAATTTATTCTTTGGGAAATTTTTCTAGAAGACTGGCAAAAATGATTTGCTGATACTTAGAGAACTAATTCTTACTGATTTACCTGTTACATCTTGAAGAAATGTAGTCAGAATTTTAGCATGGAAAAGAACCTTAATGAAACAGTTTTGGTATGTAAAGATTGAAAACATAGTCAAGTGCTTTGCTAGCGGGCCCTCTCATAATTCTAATTTAAGTTTCAGTATAACTAAAATAATGAGCTAAGTTTTAAGAAGGAGAAGAAAATTAACATTTATTCAGAACAAGTATGTGGGGAGAGAAAGGAGTTGGAAAGTTAGAGTAAAGATTGTAAGGTATCCTTACCACTAAAGTAAGCTTGAGAACACCCTGAGGGCAGTCTTTAGATTAAAGAAAGAGAAGTAGATAATTATATGTTTAAACAGTCTAAGATAAGAATTCCGGAGACTCAGATCCAGAATCCCTTGCTCCACCACTGACCCAGCTAGTCTTTGGCTTTCACGCTGTGGTGCTGCAGAGTAAGATAATAATTCCCAAGATCACCCTCACTTCTGACACCACTTGCAAGTTTGGGTGTCTTTAAAACCATTCTCAGATTGTTCATTTGCTAGGACTCATAGAACTCAGTGAACAAACACTGCTATACTTAGATATTTATGTATCTAGGGACCCGCAGTTAGCATAATGACTATGTCACTTAACTCCCATGTAGTAGACCGCAGTTCGAGTCCCGGACCTGGAGGCTTAAACTCATGCCGGGTGCGTGTGCATGCCCAAGATCCTGAGAGGAGAATGGAGGAGAAGGGATTGCTGCATGGCCATCCCCCCTGGGGGATGATTTCTTGCTTTCTATCTCTCTGTCTCTCTGGTGAACGCACGCACCCTATAGCAAAAAACCTCTCCAAAAAACCAAACAGGTATTTATGTATCTATTTGCTATAGGGTGCATGCTTTCACTGGAGATGGGAGCTGGCTGGGGAGAGGTGGAGAAAGTTAAAAAGCACCCCCAGGGGTGATGGCCACATTGCAGTCCCTTCTCCTCCAATCTCCTTTCAGAATTTTTGGGCATGCACATACACAGGCCCAATGTGTTCCTCAAGCCACCAGGTCTGGGACTTGAACTGCACAGTTGGCCACATAGGATCCACTGCCCTAACCGCCATGACATCTGCTGGCCCCCCCAGATAGAGATTATTAAGTGAAGGGATACAAGTTATCATACAAGAAAAGAGCTATATAGAGAAGAGACCAGGAGGCTTCTAATGTGAAGCTTCCATTTGTCTCTCCCAGTGAAGTCATAGACATTGTTAACTCCTCCTGGCAATAATGTGTGACAGTATGCACAGAGTATTCCCAACCAGGAAAACTCACCTTGATGTCTAGCGTTTTATTGGGCTTCATACGTAGATATAGTTGACTGCCCACTGACCGACCTTAGTCTCCCTCCCTTCTAGAGGCCAAGATGATAACCATGTGACCAAAATCTCCCACCATAAATCACATTGTTAGAATATGGTGTGATCTGACACTCCATTATCAGATAAGACATTCTGGGAATTTACAGATCACCTCCCAGAAGCTAAAGGCAAAAACCACACCTCTCTTAAAGCAACCGTAAATTATTTATCACACAGAGGCAATTTTTTTTAGTTTTTGCTCTAGAGCACATATGCTCACCAGAGAGAAATTACCCCCCAGAGGGGATGGCTGTGCTGTAATCCCAACTCCTCCATTCTCCTCTTGATTCTGGGCATGTGTGTGTACACACACACACACATCCAGAATGATTTTCCAAGCTACTAGGCCCAGGCCTTTTGTCAAGGGAAAAGGGAAATGGAGGTATAGCTAGGAGTATAAGATGAGTAAATTTTTATAATTTTTTAAAGATAAGAGCCTTTTGGGGCTGGATGTGGCACAACAATAATGCAATACTCTGCAGGGCTGACTCATTTGGGAAGGTTTCTGGTTTGTGTTTGGAGACATCCCTGAACACACTAGGTGTATGCGTACTCCCATGATCCGGGGCTGGCTGAGACTGGGGGTGTGTTGTTGCATGAAGATCCTTTTGAGTGTGTCTGTCTTTCTTGTGGAAGAAATAAATAAGTTAAAAAAAAAAGAGTGAGAACCTTTTGAACACAGCCATTTGCCCACTATGCTAGTCTTTTTGCGTACATCATTTCACTTAGTTCTTACTTTGCATTAAGGTAGATATGTTTTACTGATGAAAAAAATGAAACTTGGGGCCGGCAGATAGCATAGTGGTTGGGGTGCTGGACTCCCATATGGCTGACTTATGGTTCAGGTCCTGGATCTGGCAGCTTGCTTTCTCACTTTCCCTCTCTCTCTTCCTGTGTTTCTCTCTGCTCAAATTAAAATAAATAAGAATGGTAAGTAAAATTAAATAAAACAATTCTTAAAAAAAAAAAAAGAGAGAGACTCAGAGATGCTATGTCGTTAGTAAAATGGAAATGATTTTCTTGCTATGTTGGAGTATTGTGAGAATTAAGTGGGACAGTCCTTATAAGAGGTCAGATTTGAGGCTAGCAAGTGGTATGGCATGGTGGCTAAGGCACTGGTTCCCACATTGCTGACTCTGCTGTTCAGGTCCTGACTCAGCAACTTGAAAAACATGCTGGACATTTGTACATGTGTGCCTAAAATCCCAAGAGAGTGATTGTAGCATGGCCATCCATCCTTAGGGGCAAAGGGTATGATTTCTTACTTTTTTCCTCCCTCTCTCTAGTGAATGCACGTGCCATACGGCAATAATATTTTAAAAAGGGGGGGTCGGGGCCAGCAGGTGACGTGATGGTTAAGACGCTGGAATTCCCACATGGCCGACCACAGTTCAAGTCCTGGACCTGGTGGCTTGCTTTCTCACTCTCCCTCTCTCTATCTGTATTTCTCTGGCAAATAATAATAATAAATAATTATCTTTAAATAAAAATATAAAAGGGGGGCTCAATTTATGTGGGGGAGTCCTATGCCTTAATAGTAGTGCTTGGCACATGGTAAGTACTCGGTAAGTGCTAACTCTTGTACATATTTTAAATTAATTCCCACTTAATAAAAATGAAGTCTATGAAACTTGGGAGGAAAATACATGAATAATTTCTGTTTTTTTCTTTCCTCCCTTCTTTACTTCTTTTCTTTTATTTTTAGAGACAGGGTCTCTGTATTGCTGAGGCCAGCCTAGAACTCTTGATCTTCCTGCCCTGGCCTCTTGAGTAACCAAAATTATAGGCATGCACCATCACACTTAGCTTCTATTGTTTTCTTAATTCTTTCAGAACTGTGCTTTTTTCCTCGGCCATTTCATTATCTCATTGAAAATTAAGTTTAGATATGTACTTATTCCTGCTCAATTGGAATAATAATTCTAAATTAAGATCTTTTTACTAACTAACTTTAGGAGTTATGTGTCCTCTTTTTGCTTTGCATTTTGTGCATTCTTTTTTGGTTTATTTATTTATTTATTTTTATTTGTAGCTCCAGAATTAAGCAATCATGTCGAGCAAAAAGGCAAAGACCAAGACCACCAAGAAGCGCCCTCAGCGCGCAACATCCAATGTGTTCGCCATGTTTGACCAGTCACAGATTCAGGAGTTCAAAGAGGCCTTCAACATGATTGATCAGAACAGAGATGGTTTCATCGACAAGGAGGATTTGCATGATATGCTTGCATCTCTAGGTAGGCTTTTATATTTTTATGTCTTTTCCAAAAAATAATTCAGCTCTTTATGAATTATTTTTTGTATGATACACAAATATTTCCCATTTCCCTTTGTCTCTCCAGAGATTTCTGGATGTGAGAGGTGCCATGGTGGGGCCTGGTGAAACAAAGGGATAAGCCTGCAAGGGCAGGAACCCGGCAGGTACTGTGGCTAGGGA